TGGGCCCACTGCATCGGGCCCCGCCCGGCATCGGACTGTAGTCCGGCATAATTTGGGCCCCGCCCACTACATAGGGCCCCGCCCGACATCAGACCGAAGTCCGGAATAACTTGGGCCCCGCCCACTGCATCGGGCCCCACCCGGCATCGGACCGAAGTCTGGAATAAACTGAACATAACATAAGCATAAACATATAACATAATCACATATACTGCATCGGGCTTGCCCGACATCGGACCGAATTCCGGAACATATAACACAAAACACAAACATGCATGAATCACAAAGACATCAAGCATACATAACTACTTCTCGGGACCACCCCAGCATCCAACCGAAGTCCGGAACTACTATCATCTAAGCGGGTCGGCATTGTGGCCGTAGACCCGTTCCTACCGGAAGGAAACTCACCTCGTATGACTGACTGCTGAAAACCCGAGTGAGGAAGCCCTGACTGCTGTTCCGGCTGCTCTCCGCCTATCATGACCAAATGAACACTTAGTCAGAAATGAGGATTCTTCTGTGGGTAAAATGACTATTTTACCCCTTCTGATCCAAATTGGGCCATGACCCAGGCCCCATCCTTTCTAGTCCTTCTAAACTCACTAAGGCCCATTAATCCCTATATGGCCCAATTTTCTAAATTAGGCCCAATTCTTCAAATGGGCTTTCCTTCCAAGCCAAAACCAATTCTTGGGCCCTTAACTGGCTTCTGAAGGCCCATCACGGCCCAACAACTACTATGTCGAAAGCTAGGCCCAAACCGAGGCCCAATCACTTAAAACCCACTGACTGAGCGTACGCTGAACGTACCCATCTGTACGCTGCGCGTACTGCTTGAATGGATTGTACGCTGCGCGTACTAGCATGTACACCCAACGTACTCTCCTGTTAAGCCATCTTTTCCAAAACGACTTAATCCCTTAAGACAAAACGTCCAACTTACAGATCTGAGTCTCATGCTTCGCCCTAGTCCTTAAAGTTGGTCACTTGGTGGCTTGCAATCCCCCAAATGAGCCCAACACTAAGAATGACTTTGATTTTCCAAAGAAAAGGCTAGATCTCTTGCATGGCTTCATAAAAGCCTCAAAGCTTGCAACTTTACTGCTAAAGAGACTCATTGAGCTTCAAGGGTGGCACCCCTAAGCTCAAAATCGAAGTTGCATGATCAAGATCCAATCTTTGGACCTAAAAAGGTCCAAATATTCCAAAACCCTAGATCTAGACTTTAAGGAGGAAAGTTAGGAGCTTTATACCTCCTCTTGATGCCAAATGACGAGCTTAAACCAGATCCCTGAGCTCAAGGTACTCAAAGGCTTCTTCTCCAACCTCTCCTTCTCTTCTTCAAAGCTTTCCTTCACCAAAATGAGCTCAAAAAGGTTAACACACACAACAATGGAGTATGAGGCATATTAGGGTTTTCTGAGGGTGAGGGGGCTGGTAGGGAGGCCAGGGGTGGCTATAATGGGGTATTTATATGCCTTAAATCCTAAAAATTAGGGTTTTGTATCTACTCACGTACGCTGCGCGTACGTGCGCGCGCCCCCCGAATCCGATGCATGCCTCTACACCCGCGTACGCCAAGGCTACACCCAACGTACGTCTTATGGGCGGCCCAATTCCTTGGCCCCTTTGCTTAAATCCAATCCAATAGTCCTTTTATCTATATTTGACCCAACTATAATTTTAGGAAATAATTGATAATTAATACCTCAAAAGTCGGTCGTTACACTTTGATGTTCTTTTTGACATTTTGTATTATTTTGTTTAACTGATTTATTCACTTTATATTGTTGCAGGTGTTCCCTGCATATTTGGAGTCTTGCACTACAAGAAAAAAGGTAATTAGCGGCGACAAAAGTTGCCGGTAAAGAATAACAATGTCGTCGGTAAAGGTAATAGCGGCGACACGACGCCGGTAAAAATGCACCGCTACTGCTCTGTGGCTATTGATCAAAATGTTTCCGGTAAAGACAATTGTCGTCGCTAATGCTGATGTCGCTGCTAATACTTCTTGTCGCAGGTAATAACATTTTTCATTTTTTAATTTTTTTTAATCAACGATTTTGGGTATAAAAAAACTGATACATAACGACATTAAATACAGAAAAAATTACATAACAACATCCGTTTAGATACCAAATACTGTTATAATTAATTTCATACCAAAATAAACAACCAAAGTTTTACAATTCTAACAAGTAACAAAGTGTGACGACAAGTGTAACATTCAAAACACAAATTAATTACTAGTTTAAACCATCATCTTCGTTCCCATCGTTTCCTCTTGATTACGGAATCAACATGCATTTATCGTTGCCAAAGTACATTGTTATTTTTAAATTAAGACAAAAAACCAAAGTACATTGCTATTTTTTGCACTTGGGACAAAAACCCAATTACCAAAGCTTTAGCAAATAATCACAACAAACCAAAATTACCAAATCAACATGCATTTTATGATGCTAAAGTACATTGTTATTTTTACACTAGAGACAAAAAACCAAAGTACATTTCTGTTTGTTGCACTTAAAATATAAACACTTGAAATTAAATAATTTTACTCTGTTTGTATTAAAGAACATTAAATACAAGAAATACGAAAGTACATTGCTATTTCTTGCACTTAAAATACAAGAAATACCAAACCGAATTCAAATCCCTCTAAGTGTGTAGCTACGCCCTTGCGCCCTTGGGTTAGCCATAAGTGGTGAGAATCAATGACAAGAGTAGTGAAATGGAGGGTATGAAATTGAAAAAGGAAAACTGAAAATATTTATAAGACAAATTTACATAAATTGTCCCTGTAATTTTCTAGATTTAGAACTTTACTCTTTAACTTTTTTTTGTTGTATAGATATTGGGGTGGGAATCGATTCGGTTTATGGCTTCGTTGGTTTTTTCAAATCAGTTTTATCCGTTTGAATTTTTTTGTTCAAATCGAAAACCGAACCAAACCGAATTCACATCCCTCTGGACCAAACCGAAAACCGAATTCTGATTCGATCGGTTTGGAAACCGAGGAAGCCAAATTGCTAAAAGGGATAAAAATGTCATTTATTTTATATTGATCATTTAACAGTTTTATTTCATATATAAAATATAAAGTATACTTTTTAATTAATTAATTATTGCAATTCGGTTTTCTGGTTCGGTTTGGTCTAAACTTCATAAGACCAAAACTCAAACCGAAAACCATATTCTAAATTCGGTTTGGTCTCGGACCAAACCGAAAACTGAGTTTGAACATGGTTTGGTTTGAAATTAGTTTCGGTTCGGGTTTTTCGGTTTCAAACCAAATAATTCCCAATAAGCAAAGTTTACGAACAATCAGTAAAATTAGGTCAAAGTATAAAGTCCGACGCAATCCAACACAATCCAAATCATCAGATGATTTGATAATACAGAATAACACCTCTAATCAAAAGGAATCCAAATTCAATAATAATAAATGAAGCAACAAAGATTAGAGATAAACATACGGAAAATCCAAATAGGGAAAAACTGCGGGCAGAGGAGACCACAAAAAGATCCACCAGTGATAAAAAAAATGTTAGCAATGAAAAATAAAAAGTGAAAAAATACTGGTATTTGGGGCCAAGTATGCAGGAGTAAATTTGGAACGAAAACTCACACCGAACCTCAGGACATTTAACTCATCCCGAACGTCATGCAGTTTCCTCTAGAACTTGTAAGTTTGAGGCTAAGTCTCCTAAAATTCTATGTTACTTTAGCTTGAGCTCGCGAGGTACATGCAAAGTAACAGATATCTTACAAAATGACATAATTTAGATAAGCTAGGTTCAAGTATTCTAACTAATTATTGTACATCTATCGTATGCTATGAGAATAATAAAAAAAATATGTTGTTTGATAATATAAATACGTTCAATCTTACATAACTATTGTCATTAGCACACATTATAACTAATTAAATCGTCTATAAGGTTATTATACACTTATTATTATTATTCTCATTTCTGTCAGAATGTTTTATTGGGTCGTATTATGTCAGAATGAAAATGAGTGAAAAACGATGTGTGAAAACAAAAAAAAAATAATTAACGAGAATGCATGAAAATAATGATATTCTTGTAAGGTTGAACGTATTCGCATTGCTAAACAACTTACTCTCTTACTAATTCTCATAGCATACGATAGATGTACAATAATTAGTTCGAATACAATAACTTAAGCCTAGTTTAGATATCCATAAAATAAAACGAAATTATTATTCTAAATCGTCTTCCCCCCTTATTCACACGTTCAAGGAGTGCCATTACCATTGACCTATTAACATAGTGGTCCACTAAAAAACATTCCACTACCCATTAACATATACAGTCATCCACTGAAAAGCGTTGATTGCTGAAGTAAAACACACTCTACGCCATTTTGTCCGTGTTTTATCTTTTCTTCACATACCAATGTTAGCTATTAAAAGACTAAAAGTTTTCTTCAAGATTTTTTCAACATAAATTTTTCCGGTCCTAAGTTTTAATTCTGCTTTCCATTTATGAAGTTAAAATTCGTTTACCCGCTACGTCTATGTAAAAAAATTCCTTCCTTATTAAAAAAAAATCTTTATTAGCTTCGAAAAAAAAAATAGTATAATGGACACCAGTTTCAATACAACTAATTGAAAACCAAAAAATAGATATGTACCAAATCAATTAAAATAATATTACAGTTCTTATTCCATATTTGACATATGATACCATTGTCTTTTTACTAACACCTAGTTTTAATTTCCTTATTAACATTCGGTTTTTTTCCCACATATTCCATGCGAGGAATACCATTGAAAGTATAATACACTCCTTGAGGATAAATATGCGATGACTTCTTAGAAGAATAGACTTCATGTGGAAAAATATGTCATTGCACAAATTTTCCTTTTTGAATAAGTAAAAACAAAAAATAAGAGAAAATGGTTGCCCAAGTATAAATTAGGACACACAAACCATCATTTTTCAAAATACAACACAACAAAGAAAATAATGCCGTCTTCAAACTTGTTAATCTTCTCTCTACCTCTACTAATCATTACGCTCTTCCCCAAGTCAAATATTGCTTATGCTTCTTTGGAGGAAGCCAACGCTCTTCTTAAATGGAAAGAAACCCTTCAAATCCCAAACAACTCCTTGCTCTCTTCATGGATTCCCATCTCGTTGAATTCCAGTGCATCGTTTCCATGCACTTCTTGGTATGGGATAGTTTGCTATGCTGATGCGAGCATTCATAGGTTGAACCTAAGTTCATCGGGCTTAAAAGATACACTCCACCAATTTCCATTCTCTTTGCTACACAATCTTACACATTTTGATCTCAGTGTAAACAACTTCTTTGGCCCCATCCCAGCAGAAATCCGACACCTATCCAAACTAGTGTATCTTAAATCTTCAGAGAATAAGTTTTCTGGAGCAATCCCACCTGAAATAGGAAAACTGAGCCAGCTATCCCTCTTGGACCTTTACGAAAACGATCTAAATGGTTCTATTCCTCAAGAAATAGGAACCTTGGTCTCACTTGAGGTCCTAAGCCTCTACTCAAACAATTTATCTGGCTTAATTCCTTCATCATTGGGTGATTTGACATCCTTGAATATCCTTTTTTTGTACCGTAATCAACTCTCAGGTCCCATTCCTATTGAACTTGGGGATTTGAAGAATCTCATCCATCTTCAGGTGAGCCACAATCACCTTAGTGGTTCTATTCCTTCATCACTAAAAAGCCTGAGCAACCTACAGTCTCTGTACCTCTTTGAGAATAAATTATCTGGTCTCATTCCTATTGAACTTGGGAATTTGAAGTCTCTCACTGATCTTGAGGTGAGCTACAATCAACTTAGTGGTTCTATTCCTTCATCCCTAGCAAACCTGAGCAACCTATGGTATCTATACCTCAATGACAATAGATTATCTGGTCCTATTCCTACTGAACTTGGGAATTTGAAGTCTCTTATTGATCTTGAGTTGAGTGATAATCAACTTATTGGTACTATTCCTTCATCACTAACAAACCTGAGCAAATTACAGTGGTTGTACCTCCAGGATAATAAAATTTCTGGTCCCATTCCTCGTAACTTTGGAAATTTTAAATCACTCAATGGTCTTCGAGTGAACAAAAATCAACTTAGTGGTTCTATTCCTTCATCATTGGGTGATTTGATATCTTTGAAACAACTTTATATGCACCACAATCAGCTCTCTGGTCCCATACCTTCTGAAGTTGGGAATTTGAAGTCTCTCACTGATCTCAAGACAAACGGAAATCAACTTACTGGTTCTATTCCTTTGGAGTTTCAAAATTTAAATGAACTACAAAGGCTTAATCTGTCTTCAAATTATTTGGTTGGTGAGATTCCAAAGGAGTTTTGGAAGATGAAAAGTATGTTGTATTTGTACTTGTCTGATAACCAACTTTCAGGTACTATACCTCCAGAGCTTGGATCATTCTGTGATCTCCTTGAACTAGATCTGTCCACAAATAGATTGAATGGGTCGATACCAATAAGTATTGGTAATTGGGTACACATCCACTACTTCAATCTTAGTGGTAACAAGCTCCATGGAAATATCCCATCTGAGATTGGTAAATTATGTCAACTTACGAGAGTTGATTTATCTCATAATTTGCTCAGTGAAGAGATACCCTCTGAAGTTCAAAGTTTGCAAAGTTTGGAAGAATTGGATCTTTCTCACAATAGACTATCAGGTTCTATTCCTAATGCTTTTACAAGTTTGCCTACTGGGATTAATATCGATTTGTCTTACAACAAGCTCACAGGTTTAGTTCCTGCAAGCACTAACTTTGTGAATGCGTCTATACAAGGCAATCCAAGTTTGTGTGGAAATGTTATAGGATTGAAACTTTGTCAAAGTCAAATTACAAAGAATAAAAATGATCCCTTTCGTCATAAGCTCATCCTTGTAATTATGCTTCCTCTTATCGGGGCTATTTTACTTGGTTTATTCACCTATGGCCTCATTGCTTATCACAAGCAAAAGAAAGAGTCTCCACAGAAACCGGTGGATGAAGAAAGTGGTGATTATTTCTCAATTACAAGTTTTGATGGAAAAGTAGTGTATGATGATATCTTGAGGGCAACAAATGATTTCGATGAAGCATACAGTATTGGGACTGGAGGATTTGGTATTGTGTACAAAGCCGAGCTACAACCTACCAATGTGGTAGCTATTAAGAAACTTCATTCATCATCTGAGAATGTTGATCATAATGGTTTCCTTAATGAGGTACGAGCATTAACAAACATAAGGCATCGAAACATAGTGAAACTCTATGGATATTGCTACCATGCCCGCCACTCATTTTTGATTTACGAATATCTTGAAAAGGGAAGCCTTGGATCAATCTTAAGAAGCGATGTTTTAGCAAAAGAATTGGATTGGTTGAGAAGGGTCAATATTGTGAAGGCTGTAGCTAATGGTTTGACATACATGCATCACGACTGCTCACCTCCTATAATTCATAGAGACATTTCAATTGCCAACATTCTTCTTGATTCTGATTATGAGGCACATATTTCTGATATTGGCACGTCCAAGCTTTTAAAGCTAGATTCATCCAACTGGACCCCAATTGTTGGAACATATGGTTATATTGCGCCAGGTAACACAATCTTGTTAATGTAGATATACGTATTTATGTTGGGATCTTGTGAAGTTGATATAGCTTTTTTTTTTCTTCTTTTTCTTTGGATATAGAGCTTGCTTATACGATGGTGTCAACCGAGAAATGTGATGTGTACAGCTTTGGCATTGTTACACTAGAAATGATCATGGGAAAGCATCCCAGTGAACTACAATCGTTATCTACTGATTATCTGGTGTTAGCAAATGTTGGAGATAGTCGTATTCCACTTCCCTCACCACAAGTTGAGAAACAGGTTAAGTCGGTGCTAAGTCTCTCAAGAGCATGTTTGAACTCCAATCCAAACAGAAGACCAACAATGCGCCAAGTTTCAAATCTGTTAATGAAGGATCAGCTTTGAATTGACATTTCTTGCCTGATTGATATAGTGTACTTTCAGTGTTCTTTACTTTTCTCAAGTTTCTTATATGCATCATGTCAATATATATTCATTTGAATGCCTTTTTCTTAAGAAACTTTACATATGTTTCTAATAGATAAACAAATAAGTCATGAAGATTGCTATACTTATAAAAACTTACCACTGGAAACCACGGTTAAGGCCATACACACATCCCCCAAACAAGAAATTATGTACAATTTTGCTATTTTACTTCTTATATCTATTTCAAAATTTCAATTATTTAGCAAGTTAAATGTTTAAAATTAATAATTATTATAATGACTTCATATTTTCAAAAATAATACATTTGTCCATAAGTTGGGTAGCACATCATTTGATATACCCTCTACGATACCTAAGTCATTCAAATATACAAAATATATTTCTATTTTGGATTATATGATGAGCAAACAAAGTTAATGGTGAGAGATGTCATTGGGAAATTTTATCAGACACTTGGTATTATAGATGAGAGGTGTCTTTACAAAGATGGAAAGTTTTAAATATTAAGAACATATTTCAAATATTAAAGCATTTTAAACAGCCTGGAACATTTTTGACTCACCACTCCATTCCTAGCATTCTTTTGAGCTGTCGAATTCCAATTTTGACAGCCTGGAATATTTACACTAGATAACCAACTAAATCGTTCAAATAAAACATACATGATTTCAGTTATTGGTACACATTTCACTTCACTTTGAAATATGACTAGAATTAACAGTTTATGTGGATGAGGTTTGTATCACATGGTTGTAACGTTGGTTTCAATTTCTTACTAGTTTTATGTCTCGTCTCCCCTTCATTTCATGTCAACATGATATGGCATAATGTGGATGTACATGTGGTTTATGTGTTTGTGGAGAGGGTAGAGAAATTGAACACACCATGAGTTTTCTGATGGGTCTGAACTCCGAATGAAAATTTTGTTCAAATTTGTGGCAGAGCTTGTTAATAGATCCTATTTCATCAGTGAATCGAATATTTTCACTTGTTATCTAAGAGAAAAGACAACAAGATGTTGGAAAAGCACAATCATTTTCTTCACCAATGGCCTTTTTTGTTCGAAGCTATACCCTGGTTAATGTAAAATCTTATTGAATCTGCCAGACTTTGGGTATTCTTTGATTACAAATATATATGTTGGGAATACAACAATCACGTTCCTTTAGTTAAGCAGTGTAAGAAAAATATACAATACACAATTAAATAAAAAAATATTTCCCAATTATCTTATATCCCCCTCAATCTTCATAGTTGAGAACTAAGACGAAGCATTGCACAAATATATTCAAATTGAGGGTGAGGGAGGCTTTTGGTGAAGATTTCAGCCACCTAAATACCGGTTGGAATGAACTTGGTATACAACTGACCTAAGGCAACTAGTTCTCGAATAAATGATACTCTAAGTCGATGTGTGTAGCGTGCTTATGTGAAACAAGATTTTGGGTCATGAGTAATTATTGTCACATACAAGAGTGGGACGATCTAGTGGCAACACATAAAGCTCTCGAAGGAGATAGGTAACCCATAAAATGTTTGCAACTGTGTTTGCCATAATACAGTATTCAGATTTACACCTTGATCTTGAGATTGCAAGTTGTTTCTTTGCACTCCACAAAATAATATTGTGTAACACCCACATATTAGGGCTAGTCAATTTGAATACTATAAGCGTCAAATTTGACTTTTAATAGAAGTTATTTAGGATAAATAATCTTAACCAAAGTTACAGTATACGTGACAAGGATTCTGCACATATAAAGAATGCCTAAATCTGACTTTGTGAGAGGAAGTTATGATTTTTCTAATACTTCAGCGTAGCAGTTGCAACATCCCAAAATTTTCCTATAAAAATTTCATTTTTATTTCATTCCAAAGTATCCAATAACCATATCAAATCAACCAAAAGTATGTGATAGTGAAAATTCATCAGAGTACAAAATCCCAAAATAAGAAAATGCGGAAAAACATGGGCGGATGTAGTGCGATCATGTCAGGCCCTTCCCTTTCGAACTAGTAATACCAGCTGAAACATAAACTGAAAACTGCAAGCACAAAGCTTAGCGAGCTCCCTCAAAATACCCCATACCATACATACATAATAGTCAAATCATAATTGGGTCTATTTCACCCCCTTCGGCCTCTTTCAACCGGTACTAGGTATAATTCACCCCCTTCGGTCTCTTTCAACTGGTACTGGGTCTCTTTCACACACTTTAATCTCTTTTAGCCGCCGCCTTCGGTATCTTTCAACTGGTATCGGGTCTATTTCATCCACTACAGCTAGCATACAATCATACCAGCAAGAGTCACAAAGACAACATGCATATATAAGTATAACATGAAATTATCACGAAGACAACTACCATCCCACAAACATAATCCAGTGGGAAGACAATGGTGTCTTCGACCCACGAGTATTGTGAAGGCACTCACCTTAGTCTGAAGATAAACCAAATCACACTCGGGCTACTGAATTGTAAAATCCCCATACTAAATCACAAATAATAAGGCCTTAATTAGCAATTAGGTCACTAACCCAAACCGGGAGTCCAAATCCTAAATCCCGACTCCTAGGGTAAAAAGGCTGCTTTACCCTTCCCTTAATGGGCCTAACATATCATGGTCCAAATCCAAACTAGCCCAAAGTCCAAAATGGCCCAAGAGGTCTAATGTCCACTATGGCCGAAAAGACATAAGATCCACTAATGGTCCAACACTCTAAACCCGAAAAGCTCCCTAATGAGTATGCTAAGCGTACCAAAAGTACGCCCGACATACTCGATTGCTACACAAGGATTGGGATCCCAGACGCGTATGGTCAACGTACGCCTTAGTACGCCCGACATACGCCCCAGTTGGCCAAAATGTCCATTAAGCACTTAATGCTTTAAGCCCATCGTCGATCTTTTAGATCTAGCTCTCCAGGGACATCTTATTACCATCTTGATAACTTTGCATGGTTGTTAGAACCATTGTCGCACACGATTTAAAGAAATAAAAATATAAATAAGACTGCTTTATTATACTAACAAGTAGTACAGGTAAGCAGGGTCGAATCCTCAGGGACACGTCCTAAAGTTTATACCTCTTTGCGTAAGACATGAATTAATTATTGATGAGTGAATAAAACATAAAAGGGAGGGTGGTTTATTTCTAGAAATTTAAACTAATAAAAATCGGAAATCATAAAAGAATAACTTATTTTAAAGGTTGTGAAAAATTCAAATAAGAGAAAACAATTCCAGTTCTGCGGTGACTCCCTTGATCATGTAATTAACCTTCAACACAATATTTGACTGTGCACTTGTTTAAAGTGGTACTGAAGTTCATTAACAAGCTCTAATGATATCTATTACAAAAATCATTTAATCAAAATAAGTTCTTTGAGTTAAACCTAACTTTTTACCAAATTAATCAAACAAGCTCTTGATTAACAAAGAAAAGTTGCATTAAACACAACATAATTTCCCAGTAGAGTTAACCCTAAACACATAAGCTCAGAGGTGTAAAAAATCATTTAATCAAAATACCTCTCATAAGCTCAGAGGTGTAAAAAATTATTTGATCAATTCCTATTAGAGTTAACCCTAAACACAAATTTAATCTAATACTTGTTACTTTTTACTAATTAGTCTAGACAATTACGGATCTGAACAATCAGATAACTAGAATGATTCACAAACAATTTAAGTGGCCAATAGAAATTGAAATCAAAATCAAATATTCAATTAAACACAAAATTGATCAAACTAAATAGTAATCATAGTCAAACGTCATGACTAATGATTAATCATACGAAAAGGTTACGTCTTGCCAAACTGAAATCTGAGTTTTTATCCTGACATGACTAAAAACGAATTACAAACAATAGAAAATGAAATCTAAGCGATAAATCTAACTAACCAACGAAAAGGAATTGAATCGTCTCCTTCGGATCTGCGTTCTTCACTTGAAAGTCTCTGAAAATTGCCTTAGAATCATCAGGACTCGCCAATTAGGGTTACTGGACAAGTATGCGGTTCTATTTATACGTCCGACAGGAAAAACGACGCACATGCGATCGCATGTATGGAAGTTGCCATCACATGTATTGTTGAAAACGTGTCTCGGGCCTTTTAAATGAAGTACATTGCTATTTCAAGTCATTCTGGCCAAGTTGTGATCGCAAGCAAGCAAGTTGCGATCGCATGTTATGTTGTTGCGATCGTATAAAGTGTCTTTTCTCATCCTTTCGAATTTTTGGCACAAAAAAACTCTGAAGTTAAGTTGCGACCTAAACCTGTGATCACATGGTCAAAGTTGCGATCTCAAGGATAATACATGTGATCGCATGTACTCATTTTTGTCACTTTTTGATCGTCGTTCCTCCTTCCAAGCTGTTCTTGATCATTCATCAACATCCTTCCTTAGTTTAGACTCCAATTAAGCTCCAAAGCATCCACTAATGCATCCCGAACTCGCGTAATCATCCATGTGCTCCAAATTGCCCTGAAAAATCATAACAAACGTGAGCAGTACGGGCATTCTACAAAATAACCACGAAACACATAATACATAAGAATAAGCAGGAGTTAGTTAGCATTTTATGACAAAATACCAAGGAAATTGTGCTAAAAGATGCATGTAAAATGCATCTAACAAACCTCCCTAAGCTTAGACCTTACTTGTCCTCGAGTAAGGAAAGGATTACTTTGGAAAAGGAGTAGAAGGTAAGGGTAATAAAGAAATAACTTAGACACACTAGCAACTAAAAGCGAAAACCTAACTACCAAGAAATACATAAAAGAAACAAAACAAGGAATAAAGTATGCATGCAAAAACAAAACAAAATGATAAATGAACGAAAATGATATGTAAAAGAGAAACAAACAACTAAAAATAAAAACATACTTCTTTTTTTCTTTTCTTTTTTTTTATATTTTTTGAATAATTTTTTTATACGATCAAAATTT